TTTCCAGCAATTCTAGCTGCCTTATCTGATCAAGCTCTGTAGCAATGCTAATTGCCTCTTCCAACATTTTTGGTACTGCCTTGCGCAGGTGCATACGAAGATAACTGCACCCAATGTGTGTAATAAAATGGTCTCGTGCCAGAGAATCACGTGTGCTCGCGTTATAATCTGGATAAGCCTTTGAAGGTAGCCTGCTTAAATCATGCCCAAAGTCACGAATGCACTCAACCACTTTACGTTTTCTGTCCTGAAAAAATGCACGATTACAGTCAGCATGTTCCGGTGGCTCAAAATGCCTCTGCAAAGCCACTTTCACGCTGTTGTAATCGTTCTTGGTATCATGAGGTAAAGTACTACAAAATCTCTGCGCATTTCCCCTCAGCAACAGCATGAGAAAATTCAAACGATCGGCCGCATGCCATCCATTCACTTGCGCTGCTAACTCAAATTGTTCAATCCAAACAAACCATTCGCCTTCTTTCCCCTTGAAAGATTCTGACATGAACACCAGCCGGTCAATCTGCCTGTCCATGGCACCCGGCTGATCCACCACCGGCTGTCGGTCAGTCGGTGGTTGTTGATTTTCCCACGCAGCTAACCAGCTAAAGTTAGCCAAGCTTGCGAGTTGCTGTTAGCTAGTTGAAGTGCTGATCCCACCACTGTCACCAATTTGTAACGAAACTGTAATGCCATTACAGTATAGAATCTAATGTAATATTTGAAATATGTAGCCTATTTGTAACATTTTGTCAAGCTTAGTTTTGTCCCAAGTTGAATCTTATCCAGCACAAATTGGAAACTCCTGGAACAATATAAATGCCAAGCCATTGTCAGACGTCAGAAGAATAACAATAATACAGCATATGGCCGCGCAGTCGGTTGGTGTATATAAATGTGCATATTCACAACAACCTGAGCCCGTTGCAGACTCACAATGATGGGGCTATCCTTCAGAAATACAGGGTCCCACGAGAGGAGATACTCAGACTGCTTGACCTTGTCTTCCTCAATCAGCCAGCCAACCCCCTGCAACTTTGCGCTGAGTGCTGAGGTGTAGCTTCTTCCAGGTCCTTTGGGATGGACACGTCCTCAGAATGAAAAAACAAAATGTGTGCAGTAGAGGGTTAGTTAGTGTATATATTTGTGGGCTGAAAGGAAACTATCTGAGACAGATATTGATTTTATTATTACGTTTATTTGGCAGGGACAATGCACAACAAAAATATAGGCTAAGTCAAAGAGCACCACATTTTGCTAATCCTGTAGCTCATTTCCATCTGTAGTCCCTAAAACATATACATATGTGAACATCTAGACATGAAACATTATATACAAAACAGAAAAACATAAATACATCATACAGTAAAAAAAATTATACAGATCAGGGACCGGTTTCCCAAAATCACCTTAAGGCTAAGTTCATCATTAGAACCTTCGTAGGAGCATCATTAAATCTCTGAGCTGTTTCCCAAAACCATCAGCATTACAGTTGCACTTGAAAACGCTTGTAATCTAACGCCAAAAAGCTATACAGCTGCACCTTCGAGAGCATCCTGACTGGTTGCTTCACCGCCTGGTATGGCAACTGCTCGGCATCCGACTGCAAGGCGATACAGAGGGTAGTGCGTACGGCCCAGTACATCACTGGGACCAAGTTTCCTGCCATCCAGGACCTCTATACCAGGTGGTGTCAGAGGAAGGCCCTAAAAATTGTCAAAGACTCCAGCCACCCAAGTCATAGACTGTTCTCTCTGCTACCGCATGGCAAGCGGTACCAGAGGCGCCAAGTCTAGGTCCAAAAGGCTCCTTAACAGCTTCTACCACCAAGCCATATGACTGCTAAAGTGTTCATCAAATGGCTACCCGGACTATTTGCATTGACCCCCCTTTTCATTCAAATAATCAAAGCTTGATGATTTGGTTATTTGAATCAGCTGTGTAGTGCTAGGGCAAAACCCAAAACATGCACCCAGGGGGAGCCACAGGACCAATTTTGGGAAACCCTGTACTATACTATAATGACATATTTCTCTCTGTTTTAGAGGGACAGGGACAGTGTGTAATGTACGATTAACTAAATTGACTTTGTATTTGACTCTCTGTGTGTAGAATCTTCATTCTCCATAGAGACGCTGGGGGCAGAATTACAGTCCCTTACAATCCCTCACATCCTACACATGTTCAGTAGAGAAGAACATCCATAGACATGGAGCTGCTGCAGCAGCTAGACCACTTCCTACAGGTAACATGCACACAGGAATGGATGGATGAGCACACACAGTCATAATTTCCACATAGAAAGGCTTAAAGTCTGCACCGAGAATCTTATGACATTTTATTTGTGTGTGGATGTGTCTGTGTGGTGTGTATGCAGTGGTGGAAAAGTACCCAATTGTCATACTTGAGTAAAAGTAAAGTTAATAGAAAATGACTCAAGTAAAAGTGAGTAACCCAGTAAAATCCTACTTGAGTAAAAGTCTAAAAGTATTTGGTTTTAAATATACTTTAATATTTAAAGTAACAGTAATCGCTCAAACATACTTAAGTATGAAAAGTAAAAGTATAAATAATTTCAAATTCCTTATATTAAGCTAATCAGGCGGCACCATTTCCTTGTTCTGTTTAATTTACGGATAGCCAGGGGCACGCTCCAACACTCAGACATAATTTACAAATGAGTCATGTGTTTAGTGAGTCCGCCAGATCAGAGGCAGTAGTTGGGATGACCGGGATGTTCTTTTGATAAGTATGAGAATTAGACAATTTTCCTGTCCTGCTAAGCAGTACTTTTGAGTTTCAGGGAAAATGTATGGAGTAAAAAGTACATCATTTTCTTTAGTGAAGTAAAAATAAATAGTAAAGTAAAGTACAGATACCCAAAAAAACTACTTAAGTAGTACTTTCAAATATTTTTGCTTAAGTACTTTACACTACTGTGTGTATGTGTGAGGTAAGGGGGAAGAGTGAGTGTTTTCCGATGTGATCTATTAGAGGGTATGTATCTGAAGGCTCTAACCTGTGTGTTTGTGTGTGTGTGTGTATGAAGTGAGGAGGCAGACTGTGTCGTACCCTCTGTCCTCTCTGAAGGGGTTTTTGTGTGAGGGCTCTAGCCTGCTGCTTCTGATGCTGCTCCCTCTGAGGAAGAATGTCCTGAAAAACATGACCTTCCTTCCTCTCCTTTCACCAGGACACACACATCTCAACCTACACATATGTGAGTGTGTCTGTGTGTGCTTTTGTGTGTGTGTGTGTCAGTTGTTTTAGTCTGCCGTACTCATAATACTAATAAAAGTGTGTGTTTTTTGTGAGAGATAAGCTTGTGTACACTATTCTATGAAGTTTATACAGTGGGGAAAAAAAGTATTTAGTCAGTCACCAATTGTGCAAGTTCTCCCACTTAAAAAGATGAGAGAGGCCTGTAATTTTCTTCATAGGTACACATCAACTATGACAGACAAATTGAGAAAAAAAAAAACAGAAAATCACATTGTAGGATTTTTTATGAGTTTATTTGCAAATTATGGTGGAAAATAAGTATTTGGTCACCTACAAACAAGCAAGATTTCTGGCTCTCACAGACCTGTAACTTCTTCTTTAAGAGGCTCCTTTGTCCTCCACTCGTTACCTGTATTAATGGCACCTGTTTGAACTTGTTATCAGTATAAAAGACACCTGTCCACAACCTCAAACAGTCACACTCCAAACTCCACTATAGCCAAGACCAAAGAGCTGTCAAAGGACACCAGAAACAAAATTGTAGACCTGCACCAGGCTGGGAAGACTGAATCTGCAATAGGTAAGCAGCTTGGTTTGAAGAAATCAAATGTGGGAGCAATTATTAGGAAATGGAAGACATACAAGACCACTGATAATCTCCCTCGATCTGGGGCTCCACGCAAGATCTCACCCCGTGGGGTCAAAATGATCACAAGAACGGTGAGCAAAAATCCCAGAACCACACGGGGGGACCTAGTGAATGACCTGCAGAGAGCTGGGACCAAAGTAACAAAGCCTACCATCAGTAACACACTACGCCGCCAGGGACTCAAATCCTGCAGTGGCAGACGTGTCCCCCTGCTTAAGCCAGTACATGTCCAGGCCCGTCTGAAGTTTGCTAGAGTGCATTTGGATGATCCAGAAGAGGATTGGGAGAATGTCATATGGTCAGATGAAACCAAAATAGAACTTTTTGGTAAAAACTCAACTCGTCGTGTTTGGAGGACAAAGAATGCTGAGTTGCATCCAAAGAACACCATACCTACTGTGAAACATGGGCGTGGAAACATCATGCTTTGGGGGTGTTTTTCTGCAAAGGGACCAGGACGACTTATCCGTGTAAAGGAAAGAATGAATGGGGCCATGTATCGTGAGATTTTGAGTGAAAACCTCATTCCATCAGCAAGGGCATTGAAGATGAAATGTGGCTGGGTCTTTCAGCATGACAATGATCCCAAACACACCGCCCGAGCAACGAAGGAGTGGCTTCGTAAGAAGCATTTCAAGGTCCTGGAGTGGCCTAGCCAGTCTCCAGATCTCAACCCATAGAAAATCTTTGGAGGGAGTGTAAAGTCCATGTTGCCCAGCGACAGCCCCAAAACATCACTGCTCTAGAGGAGATCTGCATGGAGGAATGGGCCAAATACCAGCAACAGTGTGTGAAAACCTTGTGAAGACTTACAGAAAACGTTTGACCTGTGTCATTGCCAACAAAGGGTATATAACAAAGTATTGAGAAACTTTTGTTATTGACCAAATACTTATTTTCCACCATAATTTGCAAATAAATTCATTAAAAATCCTAAAATGTGATTTTCTTGATTTTTTTTTCTCATTTTGTCTGTCATAGTTGACGTGTACCTATGATGAAAATTACAGGCCTCTCTCATCTTTTTAAGTGGGAGAACTTGCACAATTGGTGGCTGACTAAATACTTTTTTTCCCCACTGTATGTGTTCTCAGTTGTGTTTGATTTAATCTCGTTCCCAGACACTTCCGCCCAAATGCGTGAAGAGTCTGGTGGGCCAATGCGTCAAACTGTGGTTAGAGAGAGCTGGGGTGCAGACGTCAGACAGCAGACGGTGGTGGAGGTGTTTGGGGTGGAGAGGACGGTGGACTCAGTGGAGGACATCCCAGCCACTTGGCAGTGTTGACACTGCTACTTCCTACCTGATGGGTAAGTGGACATCACTTCTACTTATACAATCAATCAAGCAAAATTATATATGGCCTTTTTCTTGTCACAAGGTGCTTTTACTATAACCCGGCCTACACCAGGGGAACCCGGGACATACAGGGCACCACTGCTCCTGCCATCTCTTTCACCCTTTGTGATGTCATATCCTCTTCCTGTTTAGGCACGCTGACAGCTGAGTGCAGGTGGGCTCTCCCATCAACATGAGGCTCCTGCTGCTCCTGCCGGAAATACACACAGGTACACACATACACAGGTACACAGACACACTATTAGGAATGTTCCTCTATTTACATGTATGTGTGTTGTGTGTCAGAGTTGAGGGATGATAAGCCAGTGTTTGAGAAGAGGTGTCTGGTGTGGGAGGAGGACATGCAGATGCACTCAAAGTTCCTGGACAGAATGGTGACATATTAGTATTTTCCCTTCAGCCTACCATTACCCCCTACTCTCACCTAGCCCCTTACTCTTAAACCACTAACGCCTAAGTTTCCAACATGACCTGACGTGTGTGTGTGTTACAGGACAAGTTTAAGGAGGAGCATGCCTCGTACATGCGGCAGCACCCGGAGCTCCACGCCATGATGGCCAACTTCTTGCAGTTCCTGTTACTACAGAAACCGAGTGATGTCTTCATGTTCATCCGCGAGGACTTCTCTCCATTCACCTCCCGCCGACCCCCGGGGGTCACCTTCAACACCTCCTCACCTTGAGGACACACACTGTGTCTCAATAGTCTAGTAGACAGGCATGGTCTGTCCTGGGCCTTATATTCAAAGTTCCGTTTTCACATTATAATCACCAGACCTGTGCGCACACACACACATTTTTCCAGGAGCTTTCTCGATCGTCTTGTAAAAAGAGTTCAGGGAATAATTTTTCCAGTTTCTTTCACATACTTGCAATGGGTTTTTAGCTGGTTTTTGCTTCCCTCTGGAAAAAACATCCACCTTCACATCTTACTGCCACAATATCACATTTTGTATTTACTTAACATAAATGTAATGCCACCATCATATTGTAACACCAGCACACCGTTCTTATGTCTCTCATGTCAAATTAATCTCATTAGTGTTATAGTTGACCTCATTCCGTCAGTAGAGGATGCCTGGATGTTCTTCAAAAGTGCTTTCCTCTCCATCTTAAATAAGCATGCCCCATTCAAAAAATTCAACTAAGAACAGATATAGCCCCTGGTTCACCCAAGACTTGACTGCCCTTGACCAGCACAAAAACATCCTGTGGCGTACTGCATTAGCATCGAACAGCCCCCGCGATATGAAACTTTTCAGGGAAGTCAGGAACCAATATACACAATCAGTTAGGAAAGCAAAGGCTAGCTTTTTCAAACAGAAATGTGCATCCTGTAGCACTAACTCCAAAAAGTTTTGGGACACTGTAAAGTCCATGGAGAATAAGAGCACCTCCTCCCAGCTACCCACTGCACTGAGGCTAGGAAACACTGTCACCACCGATAAATCTACAATAATCAAGAATTTCAATAAGCATTTTGCTACGGCTGGCCATGCTTTCCACCTGGATACCCCTACCACCAGCTCTGCACCCTCCGCTGAAACTTGCCCATGCCCCCCCCCGCTTCTTCTTCACCCAAATTCAGATAGCTGATGTCCTGAAAGAGCTGCTAAATCTGGACCCCTACAAATCATCTGGGCTAGACAATCTGGACCCTTTCTTTCTAAAATTAGCAGCCGAAATTGTCGCAACCCCTATTACTAGCCTGTTCAACCTCTCTTTCGTATCGTCTGAGATCCCCAGAGATTGGAAAGCTGCCGCGGTCATCCCCCTCTTCAAAGGGGTGACACTCTAGATCCAAACTGTTACAGACCTATATCCATCCTGCCCTGCCTTTCGAAAGTATTTGAAAGCCTAGTTATCAAACAGATCATTTCGAATCCCACCGTACCTTCTCCGCTATGCAATCTGGTTTCCGAGCTCGTCATGGGTGCACCTCAGCCACGCTCAAGGTCCTAAGCGATATAATAACCGCGATCGATAAAAGACAGTACTGTGCAGCTGTCTTCATCGACCTGGCCAAGGCTTTTGACTCTGTCAATCACTGCATTCTTATTGGCAGACTAAATAGCCTTGGTTTCTCAAATGACTGCCTCGCCTGGTTCACCAACTACTTCTCAGATAGAGTTCAATGTGTAAAATCGGAGGGCCTGTTGTCTGGACCTCTGGCCGTCTCTATGGGGGTGCCACAGGGTTCAATTCTCGGGCCGACTCTATTCTCTGTGTATATCAATGATGTCACTCTTGCTGCTGGTGACTCTCAGATCCACCTCTACGCAGATTACACCATTTTGTATACATCTGACCCTTCACTGGACACTGTGTTAACAAACCTCCAAACGAGCTTCAATGCCATACAACACTCCTTCTGTGGCCTCCAACTGCTCTTAAACGCTAGTAAAACTAAATGCATGCTCTTCAATCGAACGCTGCTTGCACCCGCCCGCCCGACTAGAATCACTACTCTCGGCGGGTCTGACTTACAATCTGTGGACAACTACAAATACCTAGGTGTCTGGTTAGACTGTAAACTCTCCTTCCAGACTCACATTAAGCATCTCCAATCCAAAGTTAAATCTAGAATCGGCTTCCTATTTCGCAACAAAGCCTCCTTCACTCATGCTGCTAAACATGCCCTCGTAAAACTGACTATCCTACCGATCCTTGACTTCGGCGATGTCATTTACAAAATAGCTTCCAACACTCTACTCAGCAAATTGGATGTAGTCTATCACAGTGCCATCCGTTTTGTCACCAAAGCCCCATATACTACCCACCATTGTGACCTGTACGCTCTTGTTGGCTGGCCCTCACTACATATTCGTCGCCAAACCCACTGGCCCCAGGTCATCTATAAATCACTTCTAGGCAAATTGGTCACCATAGCAACACCCACCCATAGTATGCGTTCCAGCAGGTATATCTCACTGGTCATCCCCAAAGCCAACACCTCCTTTGGCCGCCATTCCTTCCAGTTCTCTGCTGCAAATGACTGGAACGAACTGCACAAATATCTGAAGCTGGAGACACTTATCTCCCTCACTAACTTTAAGCATCAGTTGTCAGAGCAGCTTACCGATCACTGCACCTGTACACAGCCCATCTGTAATTAGCCCACCCAACTACCTCATCCCCATATTGTTATTTACATTGTTATTTATTTTGCTAATTTGCACCCCAGTATCTCTATTTGCACATCATCTTCTGCACATCTATCACTCCAGTGTTAATACTAATTTGTAATTATTTTGCACTATGGCCTATTTATTGCCTTACCTCCATAACTTACTACATTTGCACACACTGTATATAGATTTTATATTGTGTTATTGACTGTACGTTTTGTTTTTGTTTATTCCATATGTAACTCTGTGTTATTGTTGTTTTTATCGCACTGCTTTGCTTTATCTTGGCCAGGTCGCAGTTGTAAATGAGAACTTGCTTACCTGGTTAAATAAAGGTGAAATAAAAAATAAAATAATGCACATATGATTTCTTAACTGTGTTTTCTTAAAGAGCCTACATTTCTTATTGTCCTCTTACTGTTTAGGGGTCTGTCTGCTTGTTACTTTGTTAGTACTAACTCTTAGCTCAAAGTAGTGCGCACACACACACTTGTAATCTTTGTTTCTGTGTATTTTATAGGAGCTTTCTCGATCGTCTTGTAAAAAGAGGTCTGGGAATAATTTTTCCAGGTTTTTTCCCCCCATACTTGCTTCTGGTTTTTGTTTCCCTCTGGAAAAAAACATCCACCTTCACATGAATGCTTTTTATATTGTATGTACAGTATACATATTTTTTCAATAACTGATATCATTGTATATATGAGTGCATTCTAAGATTTGTTTGTTGTTTCAATTTTACAATAAATTGAATACCTGAATCAATGTCACGACTTCCGTCGAGGCTGCCTCCCCTCCTTGTTTGGGCAGGTTTCAGTGTTCGGCGTCACCGGCTTACTAGCTACTGCCGATCCATTTATCATCACTCCATTTGTCTTGTCTTCAATCACATACACCTGGTCCTTATTCCCTCATTAGTCATTGTATAAGTGTTCCCTCTGCTTCCTTGTCTGTGTGGGTGATTGTTTATTGTGGAGGTTAGTGAAGCTTGGTGGAGCTCGTGTATTTTGTATTGACGGGAGTATTTTCCTGTGTGCCTTGTATTTTCCAGTGCGCCTGTTTTGTGCCCTGGAGTATGTTTGACACATTTCTGCGTAAACCTGTATTTTGCGGATCAAAGCCTATTATTCTGTGATTTACCCTCCTGTGCCTGACTCCTTCAACACCACCTCATCTCAATCAGGGTTGGGTTCTATTTAATTTCAATTCCAGTCAATTCAGGAAGTACACTGAAATTCCAATTCCAATTATTTTCAATGCTTTCAAATTAGGAAAATGTGTCATTGGAATTTGGTTTATTTTCTGAATTGACTGGAATTAACATTTCATTGACCCCAGCCCTGACCTGAATTCCCACCAAAATCCCTGAACTCATTCATTATTTGTCCATGCCAGTAAAATATTTTATGTGCTATAATTTAAAAAATGCAAATAGGGGGGGTGAGAGAGAGAGAGAGAGAGAGAGAGAGGGTGAGTGAGTGAGAGAGAGGGTGAGAGAATAAGGATGTTAAGGGATACATATCGATAACACAACAGGAACACGAAAGGTTGGAGAGGAGCAAATCATCTTTGGCATGTGGACATGAGCACATAGAGGAACTCACAGACTGAGCTGACACTGAAAGTAAAAGCCCTAACAGCCAGTCAACAGGGTAAGTTAACTGTACTTTAATACTCTTCTTAAAACTCTACTTGCATTTCCGTCTTTGCCTTCACAGCAACTTTTTTCTTCGTCGCTCATCCTCACCCTCAATCTCACCTCTCTCTTTCTCTCTTTTTCTTTCCGCCTTTCTGTCGGGGTACTTCTTTTTCTACTCTTTCTTTCTAAATCTTTTTTTCTGTCACTTCTTGCTAACAAATTGTTCCTCTCCATCCATTCCTCTCTTGTTCTAACTTCTATCTAGCAGGCCTTTGCCTTTCTTTCTTTCTTTCTTTCTTTCTTTCTTTCTTTCTTTCTTTCTTTCTTTCCTCTCTCTCTCTCTCTCTCTCTCTCTCTCTCTCTCTCCCTTCTTCCAACCTTCCTTTATTTCTCTCTCTCACAAACTGACTTGTCCCCCATCATGTAGCTCCTCTCTACTCTGTACTCCTCCTCTGTAGCAGTAGGATGAGCTTCCTTGGTCTCCCTGTCCTGCCTGCTCCCTCTGCCGTCCCTGTGTGGACGTTTGGCAACCGTAGTATGTGTGGCATCCAGCTGGTCGAAGCTCTGCTGTTGGTTTGTGGAGAGAAGGGGCTGTTCTACCAGTCTGGGAGACGGGTCAGAGAGGACAACATAGGCCTGCATAAGTTTGTGTGTGTGTGTGTCTCTGTTGTGTGTGTCTATGTGTCTGTAGGTGCCTGTTTCTGTGTAACTTGGTACCCTGTTTTCAACCCTAACAGGTATCATCCAGTGGAGGCTGGTGGGAGGAGCTATAGGAGGACGGGCTCATTATAATGGCTGGAATGGAATTAATGGAACGGTATCAAACACATCAAACATGTGGAACTCTGTTCCATTAATTCCATTCCAGCCATTACAACAAACCCATCCTCCTATAGCTCCTCCCACCAGCCTCCACTGG